GAGAGAAGTCATTCTTGAATTATATATATCAAGGGATAGTTGTGTACTCATTGCATATGCATCAGATGTAAAATTGTCTTTGGAAACAACGAATAAAATTTCATACTACTGTTTATCAAAGTTCAAAGGAAATGAATGCAGCTAGCTAAACATATTTGGAGCTCTTGGTAATGTTTCCCCCTTTTTAATAAGTCAAAACAACTAAATATAGCAACAGAAAGTACAAGCAACATAGAGAAAATATGTTTCTAGTACTTGATTCTTTCAATAATTTCTCAATCTCAACTGTATAAAAAATCAATAGCATCCACACTCTTTATGCACAAACCAACAAAATCGGTTTGATCCATGAAGAAAGAAAAGGAAATCCACCTAAATACTTAGAGTGAAATGTCAGAGTTTGCACAATCTAGACTACCTTCTATAGCTTGTCATTATATAGACTTAAAATAAAATAACCCATACCTTCAATGATGGTCTTTTTGATTTGGTTGAATTTTAAGTAGGAGCTGATTTCTTCTCTTATAATCTTTTTTTCTTTTGCATTGTCAAGGGGAGAATAATTTGAGATGGTACATATTATTTGTAAGTTAACATCATCGCACCTTCAACTTAATAAGCATCAGAGCAAGCAGATGTGGTTATCAGGAATTAAAATCTCCATTGCATGCCTCTCCGAATGTCTGAAATCTTAACATAAGAATATAATTCCATATCTACTCAACAGTTTGACCAATGGAACAAATTTACTGAAACAAACTATTTTATCAACAATGCAATTAATTAACCAAAAATCAACTTAGTAAACAACAAATGAAACACAATGACTTCAGATCTAAAATCATTGACTATGTAAACCAGCAGGCCAGCAGATGCAACAAATGGGCAGACACAGGTCACATGAAACAACAGATCAGAAGATGGGAAAATTAGAAGAAAGGCAGTCCCAAAAAAAGAAATCAGAATAGCAGCAAGAAACTGATCATACCATTATAGAAATAGATTTGACCATCTTTAAAATCCTTTGATCTGGTGCAACCCAAAGTAGAAATAAACTTTCTAAATCCTATTACCATAAACTGGTATAAACCTCTTTTATAATAGTAGCCAATAGATCATTAATCACCAACTAAAACCAGACCTTAAACCAAACATTGGTTGTTTATCTATGATCTAACCAAATCCAAATCCAAACCAAACCTTAAACCAAACATTGGTTGCTCATGGCATGTATGGTTCTATGTT